AATTTGTATGTGTCGAATTTTACTGATTCTTCTTGTTTACGTTTAATTGCTTTTGTATGTTTGTCAGTTTTAAGAAGTGTTACATTGGATTTTTTTTCACAATTTACTTTAATTTCACAGTATTTGCAGAAAATAATAGATGAATCGTGTGAAAACGTAACTGAACCGAATTTTTGTACATGGCTTCTTAACCATCGGGCTAGCGATAATTTATCTTTAGGCATGGTATAAAAAATATGTTTTAATGAAACACACAAAGCTGAACAAAGAAAAATTTATAAATTCACAAATTCTCTATACGGATAAAAACGTACATACGAGCGCAATCAAAAGTCGACGTATACTAATCGATTACGTCGTTGTAGATCGGAACAGTCTATGATTATTGGGTATATAAGCAAGTGCCAAGTATGGTCGAAGTCGATAACAGAAACAACATTATGATATAGATGAATATCATAAGTGCATTCCAAGATTTCTATACAATAGGAGGTAATCAAATGTGCAAGTGAAATATACATATATCATTCTTGATTAATTATTAGTAAGTATAGGAATAATAAGTTTTGGAAAACRTATTAAAATGTATGGGTTTTTAAAATTAAATAGTCCCTAAAATAATTCCATTTTAATCTKWAATCAGTATATAATCCTAAATATTTCATAAAATGAACTCTATCTATATTTAAACATTTAAAATTTAATTATTAGCATCAAAACATACTTAAAAATAATCAACTAATTATAGATTACAATCAATGTTAATATTTTGTATGTTAAAAATAATATGTTTGGTTTTATTTAAATTTAGTTGAAGTAGATTAATGTCAAATCATGATTTAATTAAGTAAAATATTCTATTATATTTTGAGCTCTGTCTCGTATTTTGATTKSTAGTACCAATAGATTATCAAACACATTTTTACCCTTCCAAATTATCACTAGCTTAAGGTTATATTGATAGAAGTATGAGATAAACAAAAAAAATTGGAGGGTTTTTGAGTAGATAAGAAAAAATTGTTCAATGTAGTGGACAACAGGTTTGTAAAAATAAAAATAAATAAAATTGAGTATATAATAAAAAATAAAAAACTAAGTACTGTTCCAAGGTACTCATTTAATTACTAATAAGGCCTAACTAAGTCTATTGATTTTAACTATTTGATAATATTTGTCATTAAGACAAGAACTAATTAAATATTTGCAGTAACATGCAGGTATATCAGCATAATTAAATTTTTTAAGTAAAAGAAGTTCATGATTTACACTATTATCAAATGCCTTTTTTGTCCGAAAAATTCCCAAAACTTTTTACTTTAATCAAGCTTAACATATTTAAATTAATTTACATGAAAGTGAGTATCAGTTGTTAATTTTCATATTAAAGGCCAAATTGGACTAACAGAATACAAATAAGGGGTAGAAACAACAACATAAAAACATTCAGTAACAGATATCGATGGTCTGTTCGCAGAGAGACTAGGACTTTGCGGTTAGGTGGACAAAAACTCGTTGATCTCCATCCATTACAACTCGTAATGGCTACGTGACACCTGCTGCCATCATCAGTAGTATGCACAAAACATTCCTGGTCCCTCGGCGAACAAAGTATACTATTAGTCAAGGCTTGGAACTTTATGCGCTAAAAATTATTCAAATATGCGCATACATATGCGTTAAAATACATCAAAATATGCGGTATAATATGCATTAAAAAAATGGAAAATATGCAAAACTATGCAATTTATAGGGCAATTTATTGAACAAAATACATTTTACATGCAAAATTGTAAACATAGTTGTTCACTATTACCTACGAGTTCTCAGTAGTATAGAGATAATATTATTGTTGAGTGCATTGGGAGCAATACAGTAATAGCAGTTGATGAATTAATTTATTATGTCAAATGATATTAAATTTAGAATTTCGGTTGTCATATATCCAATATTTTTTTGTTTTACTATAAATTTCTAAAAAAATAAATTGTTTTTGTTAAATCTATGAAATATGCATAAAAATGTTCTTAAACCTAAAATATACGTATTCGTACAATAAATAACGAAATATGCAAAATTATGCAACAAAAAATTTTGTATTAAAATTTTACGTACAATGAATCGAATTTGCATCGAATCAGAATTTTAATATGCACTTTCTAGACAAATATGCAAATGCCTAAAGCTCCGAGCCTTGCTAATAGTAATATCATCTCATCCCAATATCCACTAAAATCATTTAAAGTATTTTGTAAAGGAAACTCCCAGACAGGTCAATGCKATTCCGTAATCTCCATTGTCATTATCAGTCATCACATACAAACAAGGTTAATCTTTGGTTTATCTTTCAATCAAAGGTATAAATGTAAAACTAACATTTAAATTCAAAATTCAAATATTAAATTGTAAAATATGAAWTTTTGGATTACTCAGCACTAATTAAGATACCTTTGAATTTTTTTAGAAAAAGGTTTATTTCCTATACACTGCAGATGCAAAAACAGTAATAATATAAAATTAAACATCAGGATGGTTTCTAAAAATAAAATATTAAGATAATACAATGTGAAGACATGTAAATATAATAATTATATGCATACTGAAATCTGAATTGAAAATAGTCAATTGATTTTTATTGAAATTATTCATAAATGCACAACCTAAACCTTTGCTAGTATTGTATAATCTTTTCTATAAGACAAAAAAGAAAAGCTGTTTGTTCATAATCACATCAATCGAGAACAGCTGGACTGATGAGCCTCGTTTTTTTTAAGTAAGACTTCTTTTTCGAGGTATAGGTAAAAAAAAAACTGTCACAAAAAATAAAATTCAAAGATTGTTGTTATAGTAACAGTTGTTTCACCTTTGTTATTTTTATACAAATATATATGTATATAAATAAATTATATTTTTATAATTTCACGGGCCCCAATACTACTTATGAAAGAAGTTTTACTTTCCCAGAGTGTAACGATGGGCTCACACACTCGCATTTAGTTTTTTTATGCTTATAATATTCCAAATGCGGTATTTACAGAGAAAAAAATGGAAAAATTGCTCGGAAATTTGAGAAGATTTTATCAATGGGAATTTCGATCATAAATATTTGCCACTTATTATCAGAGATGTTACCAACTGATCGATGTTTGGTTTGGTTAAAAAGTCAAACTGTTAATTTCAAATAATCAAACCCAATCAAATAACTAATAGCTAGTTAAATTATCCAACTAGAGGAATAAAACAATTAATATCAAATAGGTATCAAAATTTAATAAAATAATAATAAAATGATAAAATAATATCCAATTTTGTCTTTTTTAGTATTCAGTTTGAGTTTGWTAAAATATTTGAAGAGTTCGATTTGTGTGGGTTAAAATATATTCAAGTTTTTAAATTTTAAGAAAAGTTCGAATATGGTTCGACCTTAAATATCATGGTTCGTGACATCTATACATATTATAATATAATAATAGTAGCAAATTAGTAGAAATTAATATTTTTTTTTCTAAATGGATGATTGCTATACGGCTGTTTCAATTTTTAAAAACAATAATATTTTCAATACCTAAGTAATTAAATAATTCTCATAATTACCTATAATTTGAAGTATAGTTCTTTGATAATGCAAGACTTRGAATTGCGTGTGGTATCTGTTGTCAATTTAAGTAAAAGTGACAACCTTGATTGAATTTGATCTTAATGTCTCAGAGAAAACCGTTTCAACTAAAACACAAATAAATAATACGGATATTGAATTTCATTAAAAAAAAAAAGCTAAAACTAAATATACATCAAAATCAGTCATTATACCCAAGAGTAGTTGGATTGTTATTCATTCGTGGTTCAGAGACTGAGTGGAGAACTGTTAGTCTGCTTGAAACGATTGCTCAAAAATCCTGAAACAATGCCGTTGACCCTGGCTCTACGACGTAGAGAGTTTACTTAAAAGAATAACCGCAAAACGCTGTAAAACAAGCATAAATTTCGATATATATAACGCGATTCAATGTTGGGATATCATGAGAAATAAATCTAAGCTTTGACATAACCAAATAGTTGTAATACAATGGCTGAAAGCACTGAACTAAATACATGAAATACATGTATTAATCAAAATATGAGCCTGATAGGAAGCCGTCATATACATTTCGAGTCATTAGAAAACATAATGAAATGTAATGTTATCTAGGAAAATTGTTATAATCATCATAATATTTATGTTAAAAATCAAATTGGAATTTAGAATGCATATGGCGGCTCCTTTTATAGAACATATTATGATGACGTTAGAATTATACATAATAGGTACCTACGCATTCCATTAATTTAGAGACGTTTCACATGAACGCGTATCATACACGCACGTGTTTTTAATTAACATAATATGGTGAAAAAATTCATACTCGCCACTTCGACGACGGTGCGCTGTCCTAGCCATTATGGCACGTATGAACTTAATCTATGTGAACTCAAAACGGACGGGTACGATACGCGTCCATGATATGAAACGGGTCATAATTCAATGGCTGATAGATACTATACCTGTTATTTACTGCGGCGACGACACCGCTAGACAACTTGTGGAAAACGGAGTGAACACAATAATTAAATGGCGGTAAAAACAATTATATAACAAGCAGATCGTTGGGACACGCGCGAACGCAGCAACGAACAAAGGAGAAATGACAAAGAAGTGCAAGAGCGTACCAAGTGGCGGTTACACTTGAAAAATATGTAAACCTGGGCGTCGGCGTCAAACAGCATTCCCGTGCAGTTTGTGCGACTGCCGCCAGTTGCTAGACGAGCGTGTCCGAACGTACCCGAAATGCAGTATACCCAAAAGAAATTGTAAACGACAAACGTCGTAGTATGTATGTATGTGTGTATGTRTATATGTATTATTATTATTATTATTATTATTATACAGCAGTTGCCTGTTGCTCTGTTGTCCTTGAACGGAGGGTCAAATTTGACTCGCAGCAAAATAACAAAGAAAACCTTTTTGTATGTARCCGAACAGCCGTATAATAACTAAGTAGGTGTTCATGTGGACGATGCGTTGAAAAAAAATATCTCTTTAAAATTATTTAGCCACCCCTGCTATAGAATAATAATATCCCTACATTAGTTTGTCCTAAAGTAATATTATACAGCCATACAGATTCCTTCATATAACATACAGTACAGAAAACGACATTGTTCGTATATACTAAAGCCAACGAGAGAGTACTATTCCTTCGCGTATCCAAATGATCGAGCGGTTTCGTACCCGAATTTCTCCCACTCTACCATCTAGTTTCCGCCGTAAATACCCCTATTCACTAAGCGGCGGCTGTCGGTGGCAGCAGCATCGGCGATGGTGACGACATCGGTGTTGGCGGCCAGCGTTGACGGCGGCCAGCAGTTTGTGAGTTTTAGTGGTGGGAATGTGCGAGAACGGACGAGTTTTGGTCGCCGCCCAATAGTACTTTCTCGTTGGCTCGACTATAGTGAAGAAAATTGTGCGGACTGATAATACAATCGAAAATCAATTTATTAGAACAGAGAAATTATACGATAACTACACAGATCGAATTTTTGGTCGAAACGTTTATAATTTCTCTAAGGAAATTATAACTAATTTGTTACAAGTTATTATAAAATGATATGTTTATATTTAAATTAATTAATAAGCCTATAATTATTATATCAGGGATAAGAGACAGTCGCTAGACGCGCAATATAAATGGCAAGAGCAGGAACAAAAATGTCCTCAATTATAGTGAATAAGAATATAAGATAAGATAACAAATGTCATAAAATGTGAAATAAAATAATAACGTACAATAATGTCGGATTAAATATTGTAGGGAATAATTTTGTCTTTATATTATTATCAAGGTTATCTGAACACCAGCTGTCTTTCACCCAGGTACAGTCGTTTTCGAGAAGAATTGACCTGTGAACGGTGACTGTATGGTGAACGTTTTGACGCAGTGGTTCTAAAACACGTATTGTTCGGAAATCTTTTGTTTAGTAGACTACCTGTTCTCTACCGGCCAATGTTAAGAACCACTTTATTTCAGAAACAACACCACCAGCCACCACCGAGGGTCTTTTCCTGAAAACGACTACAGGTTGGTCAACCATAAAAAATACAAATCATGGATAAACCTAATAAGGAGCTCTAAATTATGGTTAAAAATTGTAAATAGAATGAAAGACTGTAGGCTAGTATTTTAATATTTTATATTTTCGTAACAACTATAATTTTATATAATGCATCTGATACCTACCCTACCTATATTATTTAGTTGACATTTTATCTGTTATAATATAATGTATATATTATATATTAYCTATACGATAGCAATGGGAACATTTTGCTATTGATTTGCATATTGTTATTGCATCTTTTTACTATAATAATAGTTATACTAATGACTTTTTATTAAAATGCAATAAATCTTTATATATTATTAAAACGTGAGACGATTTCTTATGACAGTTATGTCTGAAGTTCTAGTGGATCGATTTTCATGATTTTTTTTTTAAGTTCTAACGCAAATATTCGGCGTGCAGATGATCCATCAAAAGAGAAAAGTRCAAACAATTTTCTCATTTAAATAGTTATTAGAAGTATAAAGTTTGCCGTATTGTTATATGTATAGCGAGGTAGTCGGAAAAAAAGCCAAGAAAACAAATTTAAGGAAAAATAGCCACGGAAAAAAAGTCAAATTTCATTAATTAAATATACCTATAACAACTAAAATTAAAGTATTAAATTAGGTTTTATTTAAAAATTGTTAACACATTATTGGTCAAATATATAAATAATTATAATTACACATCATACAAAAAAATAATTTTTAAAGTATTATTCAGAATTGTTAAACATTGGTCATATTGTATACATATATATATATATATATATAATTATTAATACACAGGTTGTATGTTAATTAATTTAAAATTTTTAACATAGTTGATCATACTGTATTGTCCTTATTTATGTATAAAAATAAAATTGTTAATATTATAATATACATTGAATAAAAATAATATAATATTTTGTGGATATTATCTTGATATCAATTGATTTATGTCTTACACCCTAGATATGTAGAAGTATAAATAGTATAATGTATTTACTTTGTACAGGGTGATTCTTTTTTAAATGTACATGTTGTAGTATGAAATACATGCTATCTTGAAATAAATTAATTTATAGGGATATATTTTTAATTTAAACTTTTTGTTTAATAAAATAAATACATTCAGTACGTCGGTCGACGTACGCCGATAACGTAAACATGATACTATAATAATAGCTAATAGGTTGATGGTTGTTGTCGTTGTGCATGACACAAGGCGATAACATAAATATAAAAAACACACATACATAATAACAATAGTAATAATAGTGATTAAAATTACTACATTAATAATTTATTAATAATTTATTTTATTGATCATAATTCATAAGCCTGGCAACTATGACCATTAACTGTTTGTTTGGGGAAGTGGTTGGTTCCGAACACGTAATGTATGTGTGGCAAGTATTTGCTGCTAAAAACCCAGAAGGTCACCCATCCGAGTGTCAGTAACACCGGCCGGTACGTACACTCGGAGCGTTTCCACAATACAAGCGTACGACAGCRCCACTTATTTATTTATCGGGGGCTTATTTAGGACTTTCAATTTTGTCAAGGGGGGGATATACGTTAACAAACATTTAATTTCCCTAGTGRGAGGGGCTATTTTACTAACCATCGACAGCACAATATTATTAATAATAAGTAACAAATAAGAGCCCGAGGGGATCTATCGTAATAACGCATATTCATTCTTATACAACTTACCTAGAATAATTTTGATTATTATCAACGTTTTATTATGTGCAGATTGTATGATATATTGTTTTTTTGCATGTTTTTGCTTATTTGTATGGAAATTCATATTAATTTCATATTTCTTGATAGTTACATACATTTAACATGTTCTAAAATAATAATAAATAATAATAATAATGATTATTTTAATCTTATCTTTATCTAATCAGTATTCAGTAGTAATATCTCTGTCTGTACAAATACCCACCGCTGATTGTAAATAACCCATGATAATGTATATCGATAAGTTATTGATGAATAACGRAAAATATAACAATTATTATAAGCACCATTTTTGTATCTTGTGATGTGGAAAGAAGTTTTTCAAAGTACAAAAGTACTTCATGCTGGTACTCGTCCAGTCGTTACATAATAATAGTATAGGTATAGTTTTAAATATAATTTCATAAAAATAATGTTATTCCGAATTTTAAAATAATAATTGTATTCATAAATTACGTATAATACTTTAATTAATTTATAATAGTTCTATACTTCTTACGTAATGTGTTTATTTTGCATTTTTTTTTCAATTAAATTTTATACAAATCTAAATCATATTTAGATTGTGTAAAATTTTTACTCAAAATCGTATAATTTATAAATTTGTAAAAAAATGATTTTGAAAATTTATGGTATACTAATCTGTAGGATATAGWAAATATATATAGCTTAGTTATTAAATYATATATTAAAATATTAAATGCTCTACTCTTGTATGCAAGGGCCRGCTCAAACAAAAATAGTGCACTAGGCAAAACCCAATTTTGTTAAAAAAAATTTGAGCTCTAATTTAAACATAACCCGTCCCCTTTTTTATGTGACATAGGTACCTACATGAAAAATATTTTTATTTTTTATTTTAAAGAAATAACAAGTAATGTTGGGATTATTGGGTTATTTTTATATATTTTTTATATTAATGTCATATGTGTCATATATAACTGATAATAAATTTATTAGGTAGGCACATATTTACATTTTAAGAATTCATAATACAATCAAATATTTATTACTTTTTAAAATATTTTTCACTTTTAACCTCAAAAATAATTAAACCTTTATCATAATCTTAAAAATAAAAAATATTATAATAATATTGATAAAATAAAATAAAACAAACCTAATTTTAATCAAAATTGACTTTTCTTGCTTTTTGTGAAGCAAAGTTCTGTATAAGTTCATCCATGTCTAATTCTTCAGCAATTTCACTTTAAATAAAGAGAGTGGCTAATCCTACTAATTGATCTTGARATATATTTGATCGCAAATAATTTTTCAATATTTTAAATTTTGAGAAACTCCTCTCGGCTGTTGCAGCAGTTACAGGTAAATAGAAACCTTAGTATAACATAAGTATTAGAGTAAAGTTCTATCAACTCGTTTCTGCATATACAGGATGTTCCAAATTTCATGTGACAGCAGATTTCAACATGATATATTTAAATTAGGGAAAAATTACGTATGTGAAAACCTTTTTGAATCGTATAATCTATATTGATTTGATTTTAAATATTTTTTTTTTATTAATTAGGATGGGTAGGTAGTTTCGAGGGGTAACTTTTAAAATTCAAATGGAAACCTATATTTTTAAAATATTATTCATGTTCAGATTAATTTTTAATAAATTTTGACGGGTCGTTTACATGTGTTAATAATTGAAGGAATATTGGTGTTCATTTATAAAATGTCAACAGTAAATAATATTAAACGTGCTACCGTTGTACGACCTTAATTATCCGGGT